TAATGCGACATTCGCGTGTCACGCGATGCGTAAGTAATTTGCACATATACATACATATGTAATAATTCTCGTTACCGATAAATATACGTGGCAAAATTTGTAACCGACACTGTTATCGACACGGCAAAAGTGGCCCTCTAGACTTTGACTAATATACGCGTGTGTAAGCTTCGTTAGAAATTTAGTTCAATTTAAGTTTCGTTCCAGCTTGTGGTTTCCTCCGTGCTATTGAATCGACAATGTTGTGAATTTGCCATTGTTGCGTCGAATCTAATCTCGGATTCGTACCGGCGAACGAGATGCGCACAAGTCAGGTGGTAGTTTACGTTTCCAAGTGAATTAACGTATATGATATATATATATATATACGCGTGCGCGCAATTTTGTCTAACTTTTCTGCGAACTTCAATACCTATGTTTGCCCGTGTCGCAGATTTACGAAGAAAAACGCACGAACTTTTTTATGTTGACGGCTTTTAGAAGCGCTTTCTTTTAAAAATAAAGGTTTTTTCAGAAATTAATATGACATGATTAAATATTGGACATCAGCTACAGTATAAAACGTGCTACATGTGTACGTTGCATCCTGGAAATGTCAGAGCTGCATTTTAACTCAAATTCCGGGGAAATCCCGCGCGGCGTTCTATGAAATTTTTATGCGCACCAATAAAAGTAATTTGTCGCTTTATAACGCGATATGTGCGGACTGTATAAGCGAGACCATAAATAAATACGGTGTATAACGCCGTTGTAACGCTCGTATTTGCTGTTTAGCTTTTCGAAGAATCAATAAAATCTCATTAGAATTTCAATGATTAATTTGAAGAGTAATATTATTTTGCAAGCCAAAGAAAACTTATGAAATGGATTAAATGGCAATTATTGCCGCGCTAATTTTCACGCATTCAACTCCGAGCGGACTGAATCCGAAACTTTATGTAGCGGACGCGGTGCGCGAATCGTAACAAGCGGGACGGAACGAAATAGATTGTCGACGAGAAAGATTGCGAGGATTCCTTCGAATTGTCGACGAGTGTCGTCTGCGTTCGTATTCGTCTCCGTCGCGCCACAATTGCCGTTAATGGCTGAGCATCTCTCGACCTGGAAACTCCGAACTGGGCAAGACTGGGAAGGCATTACGCGGAAGGAAAATTTTCCGGAAATCGCACGGCTTTAATCGCGCGATATTAACGATCGGGATTCCTTTTAAATGCGACTTATAAAAGTACCGTCTTCAATGCGCGAAAAGAGCGAAAGGAGAGAAGAGAGAAAAAAAAAAAGACAACAAACGAAGAACTGAGAGAAACATAAAAAAAGAAAAAAATTGTAAAGAAACTTATTATTTCAAGAAATACTTTCTTAAAACCAATAAGGACGCACGGTAGTGTATTTATTATATGATTCAACATTGTTCCTTGATGCCAACTTCCAAAATGATTTGTAACACAAAGACGTAAGATCTTTCAATCAAATACGAACATTGATATAAGGAAACGATAACGGATATATATTCGACGAGCGAATTTTAGATCTCGATTTTACGGACGGAGATAGTTAATGAAAACTTTGCATAGATGCATAATTATTATCCCGGACGCCCGCATAGCTGACGTCTATCAATGCCATCCACGCCGATATATATACGGCTATTTGCTGCGGGAACGAAATCGATAATCCGATTTCATTATCACATCGTAGAGACCGGCTACGGTTCTATTAACTAGCACGCGTCGATTCCATAAATATACAGCAGCGGGCACAATAGCATAAAATTATGCTGCCGGTAGTTCGATTTTCAGAGTACGACGCACTTCACCCAGTGCCATTAACAGCACGTTGATTCTATTAATTGAGGAACTGCACATATGACGTAAAATCACAGACATTTTTTTTTTTTTAATCATCTCGAAAAAGTTTTTACTCTTTTCTCATGTAACAATGTCTAAAGTAACGTAATAGACAACGTTTAAAAACATTGTAGGTCTTGTAATTAATTTAACTTTTGTTATTTGATATGCAATATATATATGTGCGTGTATTATTGTAACTAAGATTAATTAAAAAATTAATATTATATAACATAGATTTCACGTTACAATTTATCTCACAGTCAGATACTAACGAACGTGTTTTTAATGAGTGATAAATATGTTTTATGCGCAAAAACGTGACATGCTTTTAAAAGCATGACGCGCTTATCAATCTACAAACTAAAATCGAAAATTGTTCCAAAAGCCGTACGTATTTACGTTTAATATCTATAAGCTTGGAAATCGTGACGCATTTTTATATCGTGAAAGGCAGAAAAAAAAACGAACTGGTTGTGTGTCCAGAAGTAGCATTTGGTCAAATCATTTGCGTGTTTGTACCAACCAGAATATTGCTCAGAAAAATCCGACAAAATGCCTAGCGGGTTAGAGAAAATCTAGAAAAATGAAAAAAACAATATCACCCGCGCATTTTCAACACGTGACGTTAGAAATACAAAACATTTCATATAAAATATTAGGTTTGTTCTAACTAATTTATTTGTTTGTCCGAAATTACGTGCCTTATCTGTTGATCTAAATGAGTTCGCTAAACGACGGCGAGTAAATTTACGAAGCGACGATAAAAACCCGAGTGAATGAATAACACGAGATTGACTTTCAAGTTCGATATCCTACGTGACAAAAATATGACAAGAAAATACATATTTTATATGCGAATTTATAAGTTCTGTTGTGTTGCGCCAACAAATGGAAAAGAAAGTATTTGTTTTCACGACTTTTAGTAAAATTTGAATTTAAATTGTAGATATACTGAAATTAGCAATTCGCGTTCTCGCTGTTATATTTGCGTATTTGTGTGTATTCTTGTACACAATTTGTTCGAGAGATTTTGTCGGATTTTGTCGCGAAGTAAAATACAACATTTGATAAGACATTTCTCTCATGCTGGCAACTATCACGAAGAAACTTCCTGCGATAAAGTTTAATATCTCGATGCGTGACTGTCACGAATAACTGTGAAGGTGTACAGGTGACATTTGTGTCACCAGGTAATTCCCATGGAAATCACAATCACGCAAGTTGGAGAACGAACATCGCGGTAAAGTTCCTTACGGCAAACTTATTGGTACTAACTCGAAATTACAATTCAAGTGTGATGTTAATACAATTGTTGTTTACACATGTGGCTTTTTTTATTGTATTTTAACATTTCCTTAAGAGAACGCTAATGTATCACAGTAAAACAAAAACGTATAACTGTTTAAAATATATTTTGTTTACATTATAAAATGAAGACATATAAAACCTTTGACATTATTCTCTCTTCTGTGCAATCAATTCTCGATTTATCGCGGGATTAGCTGAGATAAGGTCAAGTTTCTTGGAAATCATCCCCTAAAACAGAATATTGTAGTAGAGTGAAAGATGAGATATTACAGCGCGCGCACAAAGCGCGCATTATCTGCATTATTCAATTAACGCACAGATTGCGACGCGAGAACATCTACGTAAAGAGACGACGCACAATTTCAATAAAATGATTCACAAATTTGTAAATATAACAATATGTAAATACAACAACATGTAAATGTAACATTAATTTTGTTCTTAACATTTGTTGGCCTGATCATTTGTTTCATTATCGTTTTCTGTATATTTTCGTGTATATTTTTTTACGTTAGTATATGTTTTTTATTACATTATTTTTATTTTGTCTTTATTTTTTATCTGTTTTGTATTTTGTTCTGTTTTTGATTCTTTTGGGAGTTTTTCCCGTTTACAAGCAAACAAACAAATATAACAATTGTAAACCTGAAAAAAAAACAGTAATTTAAAATAAGAATAGAAAAAACAGCTTGAAGAGATCAATGAATATTAATAAACCCACTCAGTCACGAAGATGTTGCGCAAAACAAACAAGAAAACAAACAAGCAAGGCAATCTGTCATGTTTCATCTGACGACTCGGTCGCCGGGCGATTCTACTTGCTGAACGTGAGTACAATCCAAAATACGAGTATTCTCTTCTTTAAATTTTCTTGATTTCAATATTCCAGAATCAAAATCAGGTCTTAGGGTCTCTTATCGAAGTTTCGTTCGCACCCACTCTCCTTTACCTTGTTTAACGCGGTGTAAACGTATCCGTACGCGCGAGGAGCATGAAAGCGCGGCAGCAGGTATAGGCCCGGCCTGGCAGGAGCGTAGGTGAGCTGAAATAGATCGATGGACGTGATGCGCACGCAAGTACCTCCGATGCCCCCTGCGAGAAGGGTGAGATAGAGCCAGCGCGCCACGAACCTCGATAGGTAGAACGGCATCGAGAAATAGCCTGGTGGGAGTCATTGAAGAGGGTGAAACGGCCAGAAGTGGCGCCGAAGGAGAGACGAAGGAAGGGGATTTGGAAACATGGAAGGGGTGCTGGTAAACCTAGGAGAGAGAACGCGAGAGAGGAAGCTGGAGAGTGAGACACCGCTACAAGAGAGACAACAAAGAGGGTGAATCGAGAAGGGAGATGCGTGCTATGATGTCTCAAGAGAGAGAGAGACATCCACGAAAAAGCGAGAAAGACCGAGCAGCGATACCGCTTTGAGAGAAAGAGACAGATGACAAAATAGGAGTGCGTGAAGAATGAATAGAGACGGCGACACCGTGTTTGAGTGCAAAAAGAGAAAAAATTAGTCTATAGAACAGACAGAGAAGTCTCTTGAAAGAGGTGGTAAAAAGTGAGAAATGTAAGAGCGACGAAACGAGACAGACGATCTCCTGTAATTCTAAACAAGAGCAAGATGGAGCGATGTTCGGAGGGGAAATCACCTGGAATAGAGAGAGAGGGGTGAGATCGAGAGAGGGTGCAACTGGTGAAAGTGGAAGGAGTAGGGCGCGATTGGACACGAGAGAGAGAGAAGGACAGAAGAAGGAAAGGAAGGAGAGAGAAAGAGAAAGAGGGAGAGAAAGGCACGCGACGGCATCTCACCTGTTTGCCAACCCGCCAGTCTGGTTTACGCACCCGGTCATCCGTCGGCGCTACAAGTGGCTATCCCACTTCGATTCTCGAAGCGCGCGCCTCATTCGGGTCGTTCCGCTCTCCCTTCGCTGCGATTATTCGTTCTCATCCGGAAAACACTCGTAAATCGCGAAAGTGCGGTTAACATACAAGGGACAAGATCGCGCGACACAACTCGGCGTCTCGTTCTTCCTGCTCGCCATCACACCGTCAGACGTCAGCGCGACGGTGAGTAATCGGAATCTGCGTTCGGTCCTGACGCATGCAAACTGGGTCACCAGTAACACTCGTAGATCGCGCGATCGTTTCCGGTTACCCGCCAGATCGGATGACGGGAGGCTCCGTTTCGTAATTTGAGGCGTGCGCGCGCGCTTTGATTTGCGCGTTGTCATTTCAGAGATTCAAAATCATTCTATGACACAATTGTTGTTGTTTATCCGTAGTTATGTTAACAGTTTTAACTTCCTTTCTTGCGAATAATAAATTAAAAATTAATATTATACAAGAAGTGAGCGTCGGTGACACAACAGTCAACTTTTCAGTCGGTGGATATTTATTGTTGATTTTTACTACTTGCTTTCGTACACATTTTTTTTGTTTTCCAAATATTCAAAGATTGATGTAACAAACGCTGAAAAACTTGGAAAATTGAGAACACGCGTGCCGTAAAAGTGATCGACACGTCATTGAGTGGCTATTCTGCTTGCGTACGTGATCGTTTTACTGAATCAAATCGAGAATGGAAAAAGTTGCAATCGAGCTCGTCTTTGTCGCGTTTCCAAGTTGCACGAAAAACTTGTTTAAAGTAAAGCAAATATAAATACACAGACAATCTCGCGGAAATTATTAAAGTAACTTGAAAACGTGCAGCGTGCTTTAAAACTTTTTTCATATTACTTCTGAACATTTGAGTCTGTTTTGTTTTGCATCTTTGACTCTGTTATTAAAAAAACTTTATTATAAAATCATCACAAATAAATTACGTAAAACTGTTTTCTTTGTCAGATAAAACAATAGACTAATAAACGCTTAAAAGAAGATTTAACAATTTTTGCGCACAACATTCTTTTAAATATTTCAAAATCAAATAAATAATGCATACTCACGCGTTTCAGGGTGCCAAGAAAAAACAATTCAAGATTAGGATTAATAGTCGAGATTGTGGGATGTGCAACAATAATGACGAACATTACTTAAACGCGACAGTTTGACTAACCAATTGATGCAAAGCTCCTATCTCGGTGAGACACGTACGCAATCGGATCACATAGCGAGTAGCGAGGGTCAACGTACTGTCGAACATGTCGAGAATTATCGCTTCTATCTGAATTGTCATTCGCGGGTCGATATACGGATAATGTCTCTTGATAGCTTGGGAGCGTCGATGCAATATGGATAGAATTTCTTTCGTGCTATGTATTGTCCGACGTTCATTCAATGATCTTCGGGAACACTTAATAGAAAGCCGACGACGAAATGTCTGTTTTTCGATTCGGCATGCCGTAAATATAGCAATCTGTATCAATTAAAGAGCGTTTCTACTTTGCGAGTTTTATTCAATATATATTCAAACTAAATTAATATTATTCGGAATTGAAATTATTCGAGATATATGAAACAATAAAATATTTTATTCAGCGATATTAACATAGCGAATGTAGCAAGATCGTACTGCTGATCTACATTGATTTTAATAACGCATTGATGCTGAGAGTTAAATTAAATAAAAGCAGTTTATTTTATGGGAAAATGTAGAGAAAGTAATAGACATTTTTATATTATTAAATATTGTTGACTTTATCTTCCAAAATCACGACAACGCGCATGAAACTTTGTGTCAATACACTGATGCACTTTCGACTCGGTTTCTTTTTCTAGCGTTCTATCGCGGCACGAAATCGCGCAATAAGATAATCCATACCGTCGTCATCGGCGAAAATCCTAATCAAGTATTTCGAAAGCCGGACAGTCAGAAATTATCTACAACCGTAACACATAAATCGATAGATATATCGAATTTGTCGCGACTTTTGCATCTGGGAATCTGTTAAAGTTATTAACTCATTTTCAAGAGGATTTGCTACCGCGCGAGCCGAACGTGGTACTAAAATTAATCAACGGCGCAGCGCGCAGTCTTCGTTAAGAGAACACGAGGCCGTGTAGCGACCATTAATTAAATGACAGCCGAAACGAGTAATCATTCTCGACACGACGGGGACTCTCCTTCGTGATTGTGTTGTTGTACGTGCGTTCGGAAGAGTGTGAATCAGCGAACTCTCTCTCTCTCTCTCTCTCTCTTACGCGATCGATCGGCCCTGCCTTGCCAGTGACAGAAAACGTGATCAAAGACATCTGTCGGATTACAAAGATCCGTTTCCACATGACGGCGCGACACAGGAAAGACTCTACCGACTGTTTTCTCGTCGGATTGGTGAAAAAAGAAGTGAACAAAAAAAACTCAAAAGATGAAAAATACCAAGTGAGAAATGTGAATTTTCCATTGAAATCTCATCAAAAAAACATTTGCAAATAAACAAAGCTTGTAACACATGCATTTATAGTGATATAATATTAATTGTTATACCTAAATGTAAATGTAAACAAAAGAAAACGAAGCCTTGCTTGATATCTTACTCTCGCGAACACGTTAACAAAATATTGCAACGCTTAACATGTTAATACTTATGCAAGTTGGGTATTAAATGAAGCTTTTCTCTAAGAACTAACGTATACAAGCTATTCAAGGAACGGGAGTTTGATTTTGCATACGTTCCGCACACGTACCGCATGAAAACTACTGTATTTGCATTACAAATGTCCGGACGAGGGATGATACGTACTTCAATTCGCACTTTAATTCACGATGACGCGCGGAATTAAGCGACAAGACAGCCGTCTGTCTATTATATATGCTCGAGAACAATTACCTTCTACTTATTTCTCGTCTATCGACACATCGCGGAGAGATAAATTACCGATTGTGCATGGGCCGTCACTGGGCTGAACGGCGGCGATGATTATGAAGCGAAAATACGCGGTGAAAGAGCTCCGAAGCCTTTCCGATATTGGAAGAATCCATCAGAAATCTATTGCCGACTGTGAAACGCGGAGGAAAACTGACGACGAACGGACTAGCGAAGAGATTTCCCCGGCGCACTCAATTCGAATACGAAAAACACGCACTTGATCCGCACGTTCTCGGCGGAAACACATTGTTCATTGCGTTTCCGCTTCTCGCGAACAAGGAGTGCTAAATCGAACACGGTATAACTTCCACAATCGACGCAGAATCCCGCGGATTTACACAACGCGGAATTTTCTCACGACTTTCAACTCTGCGAACTCATCTCTCTAAAGCGCACGTTGCAAATTTTTATTCCGCTTGTTTTTCGTAGTGTATGTTTGATTTAGGACCCCCGTAGAACTGTGTTTGAATGAACGTTGAAAGTTCACGAACGGAACGTGATCCTTACTCCGCCTTCTTCTTCGTTCTTCGGAAATACTGTCGACGGATAAAGATGATCGAGATTTTTTTCCCGACCGTGACGATATTCATTCAGATGATATTATGAGCGATGACGTACAGAGAATAACGATGCATCGTTTATAGCTCGCATAAAATGCAAAATCCTGCAGATGTGCATGCGAAGTTTTCACATTGCAATTATGTAACTTGTTTTTGAAGAAGAGATTTTAATCTTGAACCGTTTTTTTTTTTGCATTTTAGTAAGTAAACCTTTGATGTATTTTATTTGATTTTAAAATAAAAAAACTTTAGTGCAGAGTTTTTATGTAGTTTATTTTTAATAATTTTTGAAGAGAGAGTTTCGAAAAATGTTGCGGACAAAATCTCCCAAAAGTTTTCAGAATTAAGATCTCAACATGTTTTAGTAGAATTTAAATTGATTGGGGAATATATTGCTTCCCGTCCGCCTTCTCGAGCATCCAATTTCGCGCGATCTCGAAATATTCACCGTAAATCGAAGAGCTTTGTGTTAAACTTCGAGTTTCGCCGTTAGCCGGTAAGCTCGTTGAGAACATAACTACAATCGTGTACATAATAAACCTAAACCTAACCGTATAATAAGCCTAATTGTGTTAACAAACTTGCACTGCAACTTTATGACGGATATATCTTTTCGAAGGTATGCTTGTTATTACGTATGTGTGTGACGTCGTTCCAATATATCGAGGCAAGACTGTCACGTGTCGTATTTACGTGGGGGAGAAAACGAAAATGTTAATCGCGACTTCTTCATCTGGTGGTTACTCTGCGGTATATCTCACTTCAAGTTATATCAACAAACTAAGTCTCTCTGCTTGTAACTTTTGCGGAAGTGGCAGTCGTTGCTCCTGGGATTTAACCTTCGAAGATTTAAATTCGAAATCGCAATAGAGTTCGCATAATTGTATTTATCTTTCTTCTACTTTTTTATATACCTTTTTCGACCGCAACTGTCCGACAATCTTGTTTTTCCATCTTCTTTCTTTTTGCAACAACAGGGAGTTATTCCGCTTATACTAAATAAATAAAAATATAAACTATTAGATCCAGCGGGTTGTTGTTTCTGTAGTGACAATTTTGTTTTCTGCATAATTATCGAGAGAGTTGCGCAACACGGGCAACTGAAACTAGTTATCACAAACAGTGATTCCGAGTGAAATTTTCGTGAAATTGAAGTCGATCCGGCGGATTCCAGCGGAGACTGTCATCGACAGCCCGTCCCCGTCGGCGCGGCGGCGCTTTGAGGTCTGCGAAAATTGAAGCCAATTTACGTAAAGTGTATTATAAATCTGCAGTATATATATGTAACGTATCTACACGCGATATATACGATACACCTATCGCCCGTTTTGTCGGCGAAACATAATGGCGAGCACAATGGCCGTTACGCGTGCATTGCGGAAGAATCGACGGATCCAACCTCTCTGAAACAAGGAGAGAGGGAGAGGTTGAGGCTTTTTACCGAAAACAATTCCTGTACATGGCAGGGTGGGTCGACAGAGTGTGGCTCGCTCCTCCATCTCTATTACGGTCGTTCGAGGCAAACGTGAGGCAGACGAAGAAGCAAGAGAGAGAGAGAGAGAGAGAGAGAGAGAGAGAGAGAGAGAGAAAGAGGAATTTTCGACCTGTGAGCACGACAGAGGGATAATGGGAAGCAACGAGAGCGAGCGACAGGTATAGAAAACCAGGCAAATCTCGCCGGATGCCTCGCGTTAATTTTCCT